ACACACATATATATATATATATATATATATATATATATATATTATGTGTCCTTTCCCTAATATTATATTGAAATCTTGGATAAAATGTATATATTTTTAGAAGTTAAATGTTATTTAACTAATAATGATATACAATTAATAATCTAATGAATAATCATATATCATTTTATGGTAAATACTTGCAAAGAAAACAAACAACGTTTTCACAAAAAAAAAAACAATACTTTTATTCAAGTGTTCTCCAGCACAAATACATAAAGAGCCTTTTTTTCTTCGTTCTGGGCACATAATGAAAGAAAGGGGGAGAGGTGGCGAATGATTGCTACATTTGCTGTATGAGCTGATTGCAAAAGAAGAGAAGGCCTGAAAAAAGTTTATATGACACAACAGAGGTCACAAATATCAACAGTGTCACTGAGATACACAGAAAGCCTGTTAGGAGAGCAAACACGAAGCTGCTCCCCTGGAACTTTGTTCTGCAGTGAGTCGCTACTGGACCAGACCATGAAGTACTTTCTTTCTTTTTTTTTTTATAAATATACATAAATATAAAATGTACAAATATAAATCATGTATCATATAGGTATACAAAGTATTATATCTATTTATTCTAGTTGTGTCCATATTCTTATGCTTATAATAAATATAATTATTTAAATACAAAAGTTCTGTCATTTCCGGAATAAAACCATTATATATATACATATATATATATATATATATATATATATATAAAATATCATACCACAAATACATAAAGAGCCTTTTTTTCTTCGTTCTGGGCACATAATGAAAGAAAGGGGGAGAGGTGGCGAATGATTGCTACATTTGCTGTATGAGCTGATTGCAAAAGAAGAGAAGGCCTGAAAAAAGTTTATATGACACAACAGAGGTCACAAATATCAACAGTGTCACTGAGATACACAGAAAGCCTGTTAGGAGAGCAAACACGAAGCTGTTACAGCCAAATGTATATATTTATATATAGACCCAAATAAAGCAAATTAAATTGAGCAAAACAGAGAAGAAGAAAAAATAAAACTACGAAACAAAAGAAGATGGAGGGCTGGATATATGGCATGGAATGCAGGACTTTCAAATAGCAATTCTGCCTGGATATTAAGCAAGTACATGTTAACAGCAAAATGTATTACTTTTTTTTTTATTTCCCATTATGAGTACATGATCCCACAGATAAGCACCAACTACAGCAATGTCTATTCTAAAACAATATAAGAATCTTTCATCATTTATCATTATTTTTTCAAGTACAAAGTTAAAATGCCTTTGTTAATATCTTTATATGAGAGAGTAAAATAATAGTGCTTCTCCAATACTACAAGAAACAATCAGACAAGTTTACATATTTTCCAAATACTATATTTTTCTCAATTAGATAAAATGTTTAGCACCTTAGGAAACACCTACAATCCCTCTCTTAGTACTTAAAAAAGAATTAAAAAGCAAATCGAAACACACTTTTGTATGTAGGGCTGTGCAGTAAAGACGGGACTGTTAAAATCACTTAGCGAACTCATTCTTTAGTTTTATCCTCTGTTCGACATATATAAATATGAATTACAAAAGACACCCTGCTGCTTTATAGCTTATGTCAATTAGCCTGTTGCCATTTTGTCAATTACCCCCTCTTGCGATTTGAGTGCTGTTTTGATTCTATGATATATATTAGCAAAGAATTATATTTGTACATCTCATAGGTCATTAAAAAAAAGCAACAGACAATTTATATGTACAAAATGTACAAAAAGAAAAAAATCTGGGCATCGCTGAAATTTGGGAAAATAAGAAACAAAACTTTGCTGAACATGACAAATGTAACTGTATGCAAGCAGTGCAATGCCTTACAAGAAGAGCCTAATAAGGATTTCATTAGAGCCCGTTTCTAACCAGATTCACAAATTTAGCCTACATATAGCTTGCGTGATAATTAAATTATTGACATGGTCAACATCCACCATTGGCAAACATAATAATGTATGTTTTCAGATCTACGCTAGGGACCAGATGTAGTTAACTACTTTTCCTACAGGGATATTTAACAAACACACTCACTTTGGGATTATATAGCAGTAAGAACCGTGAGCAGACACTATTTCTCGAAGCGAGTTATGATAAAGCGACTCCGTAGCACATGGAAACATGAGAGGGGTGCTATTGGAATTCGGCCCCTTCACCACCGGCACGACAGACAGAGTGATTCTATCCTAGCTCAATCGTTCACATCTATTGGCACAGCCCTACTGTACACAACAAAGTATTTACCTTATATAACGGCAAGAAATTCACATCATTAAAAATAACCAATTCACAAGAATCAAGGAGAAAGATTAAAAAAAATATCAAAGAAATAAAGAAGTATACATATACAAAAGTGCTCGATATTGTTGGTAACACAGCACAAAAAATTGCTAGTAAAAGGTAGAAGAGCATTGTGAAGCCGCACCTTAAAAGTTTGCACCTGACTGAGAATAGCCTGCGGACGCCGCAGTTGAAGGCCGATTCACCTGGCCGACAATATATATGACCGACGCCATTCTTCCTGCGGACGCCACGCATGCTAAGAGTTGTACAGTAATGATTCTGGCCTGTGTGAAGTAGCTCACCACAGCCTTTGATTTCAAGGTATGGATGACAAAAACATCACCGCCCATGTGGCTGGTTTCATGCGTTCGGATTGCAGGCATACTGAAGGAAGCAGACCTCAAAGATTGAAAGGCTGAGGCTTGTTTTTTTGTCTTTATTTTGAAAAGAGCACCAGAGAATATTGTACAAAAAGGCTGTAAAAGATATAAAATGAGATGTGGCAGACCTTTTTTTTTTTTTTAAGGTTTCAGTCGTTCGTTTTCCCTGACGATGGTACAAAACGTGACCCCATGATCTTGTTTCGAGTAGTAGCACCACATGAGTTGCAATGTTTTTCACCACCTTGAAGCACCATATTGTCACCTATTACAGTAGTACCTTTATTACCTTCAGTTATGTATAGAAACTGTAAACAAAGAGGTATTTGTGATCTGGTGTTTTGGATTGGTTAAGACAAGAGCTCCCCTGATCCCAAGAGAAAGACTTTTTTCCCCGCTCTAACCAAGGCTCAGACGCTGGAGGAGAGGAAAGACGCGCACCATGAGAATTAGATCGATCCGCGACCCGATAGTCGAAAAACTCAGGAGTCGAAATGCTTGGGCGAACTAAATGCGATTTCCGTCTCATCGAATTTCTCGTTTCTGCCTTGAATTGTAACATCGTCTCTCAGTGCCTTAAAAGGAGGCCTTGTCTCAAGTATAGCTTGCACACATAAATCAATTAAAATACTGGATAACACTGCTAATCAGTAAAACTACTAATAATAAAAAAAAATTAAATAGAATTAAACAGAGTCAATTATTCCAAACCAGAAGAAAAAAAATCTAAACAAAACATGAAATACCTATTTTTCTGATGTCGAACTTGCAAATAACATACGAGAGCTTGGTTTCAAAGCTCTTGGTATAACTTCGGTTTAGATTTTTCTCATCTGTACTGGATTTGAGTTCAGACGCAGGCGAAATACTCTTTGAGTGGTGCAAACAAGTGACGGATGACCGGGACGCTCCATGACCTTCCCAGCAGCCTCTGCCTGGCCAGACGACTCATGTTTGACACATCTGTGTAATGGACAGGGAAGCCGAACACCCTGAAAAGAGGTGAAATGGGCAGAAATTTTGTTCAAATATATTCACAAGTGCAACACTCTTGTGATATAAATAGACAGATTATGAATAATCTAGAACAGTTTATTGCAATTTTTGTTTTATAGATACAGAATATCATACAGGATGAATTAAAGGACATTAAATTGATCAAAAGTGATAGCAAAAAAAAAAAAAAAAAGCTGCAAAAAAATTATATTTCAAATAAATGCTATTCTTTTATTCATCAAAGAATCCTGGGAAAAAATATTACAGCTTACACAAAAATAATAATATAATATAATAAGATATATAATAAAATAATATAATAAGAAATGTTTTAAGCATATTAGAATGATTTCTTCTTTTAAATTATAATCTTACAGTTTTTACTTTAAGAAGTAAACTGCTAGTAGTTCACCGCTAAAAGCAGAAAAAAATTTAATAAAAATGGACCAAAAAAATTGGGCCAAACATATTGATGACCCATCTTGTGCTCAGGAACATAATACAAAGTTCTGTCCAACAAAAAGCCCTTTTGAATAATAATGTCAAGTGGGTGATCACAAGTGGTCAGCGCTACATGCTGGTGTAGACGGGGTACTAAACATTTTGTGTAGCAATCATTTAAACCCCACTGAAGGACAGACACATGTGGCTACATCGCATGTGTGGTATAATCGCTGATCTGTTCTGATATCCATACTGATATCACCTCTCAACCATGTACTGTACTAAAACAAGGGTTTTATACTTCACTGGTTATGTGTGGCTTTAAAAGAAAATACTTTCTGTCAGAAAAATTGGGGAAAGTTTGTATATATATATCAGTGTTGTTTTAGTATCATTGGGATATTATTATATTTTTTTAATATTTGAATTAATTTTTATTTTTATATTTTCTGTTTTCATTTTTATTTTCATTAAAGTTTTGATCATTTTATTGTGTGTTTTTGTCTTTTTTTTTTTTTTTTTTTTTTTA